AGTAATGTATGTATATGTATGGCAGCATCAATATCAAGGCAAAGAATACTCAATGTGTACTGAACAGGTAGAAACGGTTTTATGGATTACTGAATTAACAATATGCCTTAATTGAATGTGACGGCCTATTCTGTACTCACTTGCCTCCCAAAGCTCGTGTCATGCGGTAAATCTTTTTGGGAAAAATTTGAGCTCATTACTGATTTTCACATGTACTAGATATTAACCAACAACTTCCAATCGTGCACACACAAAGACACTTAATTATTGTCATTACTTATTGTCCTCATTTCCCAAAGCCCGCGCACCCCCTTCGTGCGATGGACCCGATTTGTCACCAGGTCTGCCGGGTCTATCGATGCGGCGACTCTGCTTGCAGGAGCCCGAGGTCGCCTATCTTGTGATGTTTGCTCCCGATTTGCGTCAGCTTAGCCTGCAGGGCAATCGGATTCGTGCACTTCCCGGTGCCATGTGGCAATCAGCCAGTCTTAGGATTCTTGATGTCAGTCACAACATGCTCTCTCATCTGCCATTGTCACGACCGCTTCACTGGATGATGCCGGGTGAACCAATCTCGCCCGATGGAAATATACGAGCTGGTCTTGCATCTACTTATCTCCGCTTAGAACGGCGTGTGGCTGATGCCGCTGGTGGGAAGGCTGTTGGCTTCTGTAACAACCGACAATGTCATTGTCAATTCTCCTGCCGAAGGGCCTCCCAACGCTCGACGACAGCTCACATGAAGTCATCCCCGATTTCACCATCTGTTCCGCATTCTTCGCTCGCATCGATTCGAAAGTCTTCTGATCTAGTGACGCCTCATCTTCAGGTAGATTGGCTTGAGGCCGCTTTCATCAAACTGTACTTGTTGTTGATATAAATGCGCGTATGTATACATCAGGCTCTACTGGTTTCAGATATCCAGTCCTGAGACCTCTGGTGATGAGGATGACTCTATGGCCGACAATTCGAGCACCAGAGCTTGTCTCAGGACTCATCTAAAGCAGCGCTCGTCTGTCTCCGGCTCCAGAATGTCGATCCCTAGTCTGGAGGCAGCAGGGCCAGTTCCATTTGCAGTGGACAAGCGACGACAACTTCAGCAACAGCCCACATCAGAGTCGAGCCGGCGTAATTGTGCCGGCTATAAGAGGCAGGATTCCAGTTATTCAGCGGCTGGTGCATCGGAAGTGGAAGTCGATAATACCAAAGTAGAGCCAGATTGCCACATTTCTGGACCTGGAAGGGAGTCAGCGAAGTCCCAATCTATCGGTTGGACTTGTCGATGCGTCGCTATGGCAATTGTCTACCTAAACTGGACCCGATCTACTCGCGTCTTCGTAAATGCTCTCACGCCACAGTCAGCTTTCCCGGGTCGGAATTATCGCCTGCCCAAACGAATTATCAGA